GAATGATATTCACTGTGGGTTTTTCATAGATGGCTTTTATCTTATTGAGGTATGTACCCACTATCCCCATACTCTGAAGAGTTTTGATCAAGAAAGGATGCCGTACTTTGTCAAATGCTTTTTCTGCATCTATTGAAAGGATCATATGGTTCTTGTTCTTTCTTTTATTAATGTATTGTATCACGTTGATTGTTTTGTGGATGTTGAAACCACCTTGCAGCCCAGGAATAAATCCCACTTGGTCGTGGTGAATAATCCTTTTGATGTACTGTTGGATCCTATTGGCTAGTATTTTGTGGAGAATTTTTGCATCCATGTTCATCAAGGATATTGGTCTATAATTCTCCTTTTTCATGGGGTCTTTGTCTGGTTTTGGAATCAAGGTAATGGTGGCCTCATAAAACGAGTTTGGAAGTTTTCCTTCCATTTCTATATTTTGGAACAGTTTCAGAAGAATAGGTATTAATTCTTCTTTAAATGTTTGGTAGAATTCTCCTGGGAAGCCATCTGGCCCTGGGCTTTTGTTTCTTGGGAGATTTTTGATGACTGCTTCAATTTCCTTAGTGGTTTTAGGTCTGTTCAGGTTTTCTATTTCTTCCTGGTTCAGTTTTGGTAGTTGACACATCTCTAGGAATGCATCCATTTCTTCCAGATTATCTAATTTGCTGGCATATAGTTGCTCATAATGTGTTCTTATAATTGTTTGTATTTCTTTGGTGTTGGTTGTGATCTCGCCTCTTTCATTCATGATTTTGTTGATTTGGGTCATTTCTCTTTTCTTTTTGATACGTCTGGCCAGGGGTTTATCAATCTTGTTAATTCTTTCAAAGAACCAGCTCCTTGTTTCGTTGATCTGTTCTACTGTTCTTTTGGTTTCTAGTTCATTGATTTCTACTCTGATCTTTATTATTTCTCTTCTCCTGCTGGGTTTAGGCTTTATTTGCTGTTCTTTCTCCAGCTCCTTTAGGTGTAGGGTTAGGTTGTGTATTTGAGATCTTCTTTGTTTCTTGAGAAAGGCTTGTATTGCTATACACTTTCCTCTTAGGACTGCCTTTGCTGCATCCCAAAGATTTTGAACAGTTGTGGTTTCATTTTCATTTGTTTCCATGAATTTTTTTATTTCTCCTTTAATTTCCTGGTTGACCCATTCATTCTTTAGTAGGATGCTCTTTAGCCTCCATGTATTTGAGTTCTTTCTGACTTTCCTCTTGTGACTGAGTTCTAGTTTCAAAGCATTGTGGTCCAAAAATATGCAGGGAATGATCCCAATCTTTTGGTACCGGTTGAGACCTCATTTGTGACCTAGGATGTGATCTATTCTGGAGAATGTTCCATGGGCACTAGAGAAGAACGTGTGTTCTGTTGCTTTGGGATGGAATGTTCTGAATACATCTGTGAAGTCCAACTGGTCCAGTGTGTTATTTAAAGTCTTTATTTCCTTGTTGATCTTTTGCTTAGATGATCTGTCCATTTCAGTCAAGGGGGGTGTTAAAGTGCCCCACTATTACTGTATTGTTGTTGATGTGTTTCTTTGTTTTTGTTATTAATTGGCTTATATAATTGGCTGCTCCCATGTTAGGGGCATAGATATTTACAATTGTTAGGTCTTCTCGTTGGATAGACCCTTTAAGTAGGATAGAGTGTCCTTCCTCATCTCTTATTATAGTCTATGGTTTAAAATGTAATTTGTCTGATATAAGGATTGCCACCCCAGCTTTCTTGTGGTAACCATGGTAAATGGTTTTCCACCTCCTCACTTTCAATTTGGGGGTGTCTTTGGGTCTAAAATGAGTCTTTTGCAGACAGCATATCGATGGGTCTTATTTTTTTATCCAATCTGATACCCTGTGTCTTTTGATAGGGGGCATTTAGCCCATTTACATTCTGGGTAACTATTGAAAGATATGAATTTCGTGCCATTGTATTGACTGTAAGGTGATTGTTACTGCATATTGTCTGTGTCCCTTTCTGGTCTATGTTACTTTTAGGCTCTCTCTTTGCTTAGAGGACTCCTTTCAATATTTCTTGTGGGGCTGATTTCATGTTTGCAAATTCCTTTAGTTTTTGTTTGTCCTGGAAGCTTTTTATCTCTCCTTCTATTTTCAATGACAGCCTAGCTGGATATAGTACTCTTGGCTGCCTATTTTTCTCGTTTAGTGCTCTGAAGATATCATGCCAGTCCTTTCTGGCCTGCCAGGTCTCTGTGGATAGGTCTGTTGCCAATCTAATGTTTCTACCACTGTAGGTTACAAACCTCTTGTCCTGAGCTGCTTTCAGCATTTTTTCTTTGTCTCTGAGATTCATAAGTTTTACTATTAGATGTTGGGGTGTTGATCTATTTTTATTGATTTTGAGAGGGGTTCTCTGTGCCTCCTGGATTTTGATTCCTGTTTCCTTCCCCACATGAGGGAAGTTCTTTGCTATAATTTGCTCCAATATACCTTCTATCCCTCTCTCTCTTTCTTCTTCTTCTGGGATCCCAATTATTCTAATATTGTTTCATCTTATGGTATCACTTATCTCTCGAATTCTGCCCTCATGATCCAGCAGTTGTTTATCTTTTTCTCAGCTTCTTTATTTTCCATCATTTGGACTCCTATGTCACTGTATCTCTCTTCTGCCTCATTTATCCTAGCAGTTACAGCCTCCATTTTTGATTGCACCTCATTAATAGCCTTTTTGATTTCGACTTGGTTTGATTTTAGTTCTTTTATTCTCCAGAAAGGGTTTCTCTAATATCTTCCATGCTTCTTTCAAGCCCAGCTAGTATCTTTAAAATCGTCATTTGGAACTCTAGGTCCAACATCGTACTAATGTCCGTATTTAGTAGGTCCCTGGCAGTCGGTACTGTCTCTTGTTCTTTTTTTGAGATGATTTTTTCCATCTTGTCATTTTGTCCAGAGGACAATAGATGAATGAGAGAACAAAATGCTAAGAGGGTAACAACGACCCCAGAAAAATAAACACTAAACAAATCAGAAGAGACCTGAAACCAGGGGTAAATAAAGGGAAAGAAAGGAAAAAGAAAGTTATTTGTTGAAAAAGGGAAAAAGAAAAATTCAAAAAGAGAAAAAGAAAAAGAAAAAAAAAAGAAAATTAAAAAAATTAACTTTGAAAGACTAACGAATCAGGGGGAAAAAAACCATGAATTCTATGTGCTGTATTCCCCTAATGCTGGCATTCTGCTGTTCTCATTGATCAGTAAACTTGGTCTTGGCTGGCTGTTCTTGCTGATCTTCTGCAGGAGGGACCTGCTGCCGTGGTTCTCAAATGTCTTTGCCGGGGTGCGGAATTGCCCTACCCTTGCCGGGGGCCAGGCTAAGTAATCTGCTCGGGTTTGCTCTCAGAGCTTTTGTTCCCTGCAAGCTTTCCATAAAGCTTTGGAGGACGAGAGTTAAAATGGCGGCCTCCCAATCTCCACCCCAGAGGAGCCGAGAGCTTGGGGCCCCACTCCTCAGTGTGCCCCCAGAGAAAAGCAGTCAATCACTCCCATCTTCCCGGTCTCCGGCCGCACTCTGTGCTCACCCGGCCTGTCACCGAGTGTTTCTATCTCTGGTACACGACCCCGTGTGGAGTCTCCAAACCCAGCAGATCCCTGCGGTGCGCTCCCCTGTTGCTCCTCCGGAGGGAGGAAGGGGAGTCTCCCTGGATCTGCTGCTTGTTGGGTCCCTACTGGAAGAGCAGTGGCTCCACTGTGTCACGGATCACGGTTAATGGCAACCCCAAGCGGCGAGCCCACTCCTCGGCTCTGTCTCTGCAGCCCACTTCCCCGCTCTGATACCTGGGAGCTCTGCCGCACTCAGGCACTCCTGGTGTTTCTGTGACCCCGAGGGTCCTGAGACCACGCTGTCCTAGCGAGGGTTCCACCACCCGCTTAGCCATTGGAGTGACGTCCCTCAGCGGAGCAGACTTCTAAAAGTTCCGATTTTGTGCTCTGCTGCTCTATCACTTGCCGGTAGCACTGACGGAGGCCCCCTCCCCCACTGTCTATCTTTCTGAAGATCGCCTCGGATTCACTTCTGCACACGTCCTACCTTCCAGAAAGTGGTCGCTTTTCTGTTCAGAGAGTTGCTGCTATTCTTTTCTTCGATCTCCTGTTGAGTTCGTAGGTGATCAGAATGGTTTGATCCCTATCTAGCTGAATTCCCGGGACCAGATGAAATTTGGTCTCCTAATCCTCTGCCATCTTGTGTCTCCCCCTCAGACTGAGGTCCATATTTTTAATGTCAACATATTAACTGTTTCAAGATAATTAGATCCCTTCTCTTCTCAACATGTGTTTCCACTTGGAAAAAATTACCGTTTTTCTAAAGATGGCAGAAAATTTTTCATTTATTTCCCCATGTAATCTTTAATATAGCCATTCAATTTTGAAAGTATGACTGGTATTCTTTTAATCAGTTCTTCAAATGAAGGAAAAGGTTAAAATCTACATAATAATTTCTAGGAAAATAAAAATAACAAAAAATGCTCCAGTGAGGTGTGAAAATTATATTTTTATAAAACAGAATCTGATTTATTGCTCTATGTGTGTATATATGTGTAAAACCTTCTATACATATATACACATATATGTATAGACATATATACGCATACACACATATATGTAACATATATGCACATACATGTGTAAAACCTGGCATATATACAATTTCTGTGTTTAACATTATGGTATGCAAAACTTGTCAACGTTAAACAGGGCAGCTAAGAAACTTAGTGACATTTTAAGAACTGACCAATGTTAGTTCAAAATGCTGATGCTGAATCAAGCTTCATGTAACTGCATTTGCACTAAACTACAGCAATATAACACCCAAAAACAATGAAATGACAAACTAAAATTGTAAAGGCCTTCTTAAATGAGGTTTCACTCCAATTTACAATTAGCAATTTTAGGAATGTTAAATACTTTTTTAAAGTATAGTAATATTTAAAGTAGTTCAAACTGATATACAAAATTTAAAAGCCAAAATTCTAATATCAGCATATTCTTTACTCACTTGATGTTTGACAATTTGTCCTAATGCCAGATTTAAATCCACTTGGCATTTACCAAACAGTTTCAGATAGCTGCTACTCCCTGGTGAAGCTTTGGTTTGAAGTCGATTCGAAAGTTCCAGCTCTATCAATCCAGTTTCAAACCTGACAGCTCTCATTGATGGAGTAGTAGCTGTTACTTGAATACCCTAGCAGATTATATGTTAGGAGGAAAAAAAGAATCTTAAATCAACAATAGGCACTCACTCAAAGGAAATCTTTCAATATGATAAAATAGCCACATTTTAAAACACATATGGGCTATCTAATTAGCTGATAAAACTGGCAACATTCTTTAATTTCTCATATTAGTAGGGAATTTTTTAGCTATTAAATTTCATTTTAACATTTTGTATTTAACATCTGAACTGTTCATGAGTTAAATACATTAATTATAGTTAACTATTTGGTAATAGTATTTTTAACACTGATATCTTAAGTACTGGAAACATTAAGGTCTCTATTAAGGTATTATTGTTAATTGGACAAATGTACAAAATATTTCTTACAGAGTAACTTATAACTGTAATAATTAGAAAAATAATCAAAATATTTACCAGCTGTATAATAAATAGTACAGCTCTTCAGGAAGATAAAGTTGATCTATATGTTCTGGCATGGAAAAATATTCAAGGCTTTTAAAATGTAATAAATATATGCATATATAAAAATACAAAGAGAAATAGTCCTAAAGGACATTCAACTGCTAAAGCTTTTTCTCTTGAGTGGATGCGGTCATACGTCATTTTTATTTTCTACTTGCACATTTATGTATCATATGAATTTCCTATAACTAGAATACATTAAATACTTAGAAAAATACTTTGAAAAGTATAATTACTTATATGTTACCTTAAACTGCAAGTTCAGGGAATAAAGCAGAATTTTAGGCTTATCTCCATCTGCTGTTCCATCATGCTCATTCCAAAGAGGAATAGGCTGCTCCCCACCTAAACAGATTAAGTAATTGAAGGTCTGGGGTATTCACTTTAAGAGGAAAATAATAATTATTTTGTGCATTTAAAAAAAGATAAAACAGTTAATTTCTTTTTTCTAATCATTAACTCAATCCTTCATAGGGAACTGCAGCCATGTCACATTTCACTGACACAGATATATATATACACATACATATACATATATATATATTTTAGGGATAATACTGCATATATAGGTATTTATTAAGAACATTTTATAAGGACTAAAAACATTATGTATATAATTAAACAAATGTAATTATATATCTCAGAAAATGTATTTGAGGGGAAAAAAGTAAACTGGACTAATTTCTTCAATCAAAAATGTGAACTTTATTGTTTACACTTAGATGTGCTGCAAACGAAAAAGAATAAAAGAAAAATTAAGGTGGTGAAATTTTAAAAATAAGGTAATGCATGCTAATAATAAAGAGTGTTACAGCAAAGGTTTGTCCTACAAATAAAAAAAAAAAAAATGAGGCAGGGAACCCTGGGGTAGAGTTCCTATCATTTGTTGCCTAGGCAATGTGGCATCCATGAAATACTTCTAATATTTAATTTAATTTTTTTTAAAGATTTTATTTATTTATTTGACAGAGAGAAAGACAGTGAGACAGGGAACACAAGCAGGGAGAGTGGAAGAGGGAGAAGCAGGCTTCTGCTGAGCAGGGAGAAGCAAGCTTCCGCTGAGCGGAGCTTGATGTGGGGCTTGATCCCAGGACCCTGTGATCATGACCTGAGCCGAAGGCAGACGCTTAACAACTGAGCCACCCAAGCACCCCAATAATTCTAATATTTTAATGTTTAACTTCTATTTCCACTTTTCGTCCCCTTGACGAAAAGAAAATTATCTTTTAAATTTTCCATCTTAAAATGATTAATATTTTTGTATGTATGTTGAGTTTAACATCATCCCAGGGAGCATATATACATGGGATGGGAAATTTTCTCCTATTAGGCAACCAAATTAATGCAATCCATCATAATCCTCGTGAAAAATCACATGATGTTATCAAGATGTGCAGGAAAAGGGGCACCTAGCTGCTCAGTTGGAAGAGCATGCAACTCTTGATCTTGGGGTCATGAGTTCAAGACCCATGTTGGGTGTAAAGATTACTTAAATACAAAATAAACTTAAAAAAAGAGACGCAGAAAAAGCATGTCACAAAAACCCAACACCCATTCATAATAAAAACTCTCAGTAAAAAGGAATAGAGGAAAATTTCAATTTGATAATATCTACAAAAATCTATAGTTAAAATCATATGCTCAATGGTGAAAAGCCTGAAACTTTCCTACTTAGATAAAGTACAAGGCAAGGATGACTCCTCTTACCATTCCTGTTCAACATCATATGGGAAGTCCTAGCTAATGCAATAATACAAGAAAAGGAAATAAAAGGTATAGAGATTGGGAAGGAGAAAATAAAATTGTCTTTGTTCACAAATGACAAGACTATATATGTGGAAAATCTGAAAGAACTGACCAAAAAAGACTGCTGGAACCAATAAGGGATTATTGCAAGGTTGCAGGATACAAGGTTAATAATATATAAAGGTCAATCACTTTCTTATATACCGGCAATGAAGAGTGGAATTTTAAATTAAATACACAATGCCATTTACATTAGCACCACAAAAAATTAAATTAATTAAGTTAATCAGGGATAAATTAACAACACATGTATAAGATCTACATGAGGAAAACTACAAAATTCTGAGGAAAGGTATCAAAAAAGAACTAAATAAATGGAGAGGTACTTCATGTTCATAGACAGGAAAATTCAATATTGTCAAGATGTCAATTCTTCCCAATTTCAGTTTTAAATTCAATGTAATCCCAATCAAAATCCTAGCAAGTTATTTTGTGGATATCAACCAACTGATTCTAAAGTGTGTATGGAGAGACAGAAGACCCAGAATAGCCAACATAGTATTGAAGGAGAAGAACAGAGCTTGAGCACTGACACTATCTGACTTCAAGACTACAAGCTACAGTAATCAAGGCAGTGTGGGACTGGTGAAAGAATAGACAAATAATATATCACTGGAACAAAATGGAAAGCCTAATAATAGACCCATACAGTGAACTGATCTTTGACAAAGAAGCAAAGGCAATGCAATGAAGGAAAGACAGTCTTTTCAATAGATGGTGCTGGGATAATTGGATACCCACATGCAAAGAAATGGATCTAGACATAGACCTTATACCCTTCACAAAAATTAACTCAAAATGGATCACAGACCTAAATGTAAAATGCAAAACTATAAAAGTCATATAAAATAACTTATAAGAGAAAACCTAAATAACCTTCCATATGGTGATGACTTTTTAGATGCAACACCAAAGGCAAGATCTATGAAAGAAAGAATTGATAAACTGTACTTCACTAAAATTAAGAACTTCTGCTCTGCAAAAGACGATGTCAAGAGAATGAGAAGACAAGCCATAACTGGGAGAAAATATTTCCAAAAATTACATTTGATAAAGGACTGTTGTCTAAAATATGCAAAGAGCTCTTAAAACTCAACAAGAAAACAATGTGATTAAAAAATGGGCCAAAGACCTTAAGAGACACCTCACCAAAGAAGATACACCAATGGCAAATAAGCACAAGAAAAGATCCTTTGCAGAGTATCATCATATCATTAGGAAATGAAAATTAAAAAATACTAAGATACCACTACAAACCCATTAGAATAGCCAAAATTTGGAACACTGACAACACCAAATGCTGATGAGTATATGGAGCAGCAAGATCCCTCATTCATTCCTGGTGAGAATGCAAAACAGTATAGCCACTTTGGAAGATTTTTGGTAGTTTCCTATGAAATTAAACATATTCTTACCATATAATCCAGCAATCATACTCCTTTGGTTATGATCCAAAAGAGCTGAAAACTTATATCCACACAAAAACTTGCATACAGATATTTACAGTAGCTTTATTCATAACTGCCAAAACGTGGAAGCGACCAAGGGAGGAATAAATAGGTGGAGCACTGAGAAGTTTTAGGGCAGTGAAACTACTCTGTAGGATACTATACATGTCATTATTCATTTGTCTAAACCCACAGAGTGTACAACAACAAGAGTGAACCCTAATGTAAACAATGAACTTTGGATGATAATGGTGTGCCAATGCAGATTCATCAGTTGTAACTCTGGTGGGGGATGCTGACAATGGGCCAGGCTATACATGACTGGCGGCAGGAGATATTCGGAAAAATCTCTGTAACTTTCCCTCAATTTGCTATGGACCAAAAATTGCTCTAATAAGTTTATTTTTTAAAAAACTTATTTTTTTGATCACTGCCTTGAATATCTTTTATCCAGTCACAGAAATTTTTTTCTTAAAAGCTTAAAAGCAAGAGCTCTGCCTCTTACAAAATATACTGCACAATAATTTTAGCTTATGGAAATATCAGAGACACTATTAGTCACATCAACTGCACAGTTTTTTACCTCATTATGAATTAAATATATAACTGGACCAATTCTCAGAAGGTAACCTCCTTATATGTTTCTTTTTTTTTTTCTGTACCAAAATATTTTTTTTTAATGAAAAGTTGTCAATTGTAGTAGTTAACAAGGATAAAATTGCAGGTGTCTTTATGTTCCAGCATATAAACTTAGGTTGAGCATTCCACTGTTTCTAAGATGGCTGTCCATATTCAAAACTAAATCTCTTTTGTTTACTAGGTCAGTGCTTACCTACATCTTTCTAAAACCCAGGGAGTCCATTGACAATAAGATTAGAAGAACTGATTCCTCAAAAAAAGAATTTTACTAACAAACTTGATGACTGCTGTCCTAGAAAATGTCCTAGAGCTAACTCTAATATTAAGGAAAAGCATGAGGAAAAGGTGTAAGAAACAAAGAAATAAGGACATTAACTATGAAGATTATGGGAGAGTAGGGAAGCAATACAGAGATTAGAATTCTAAGAAACTTGGGTACAAGGGTTCAAAGTATTCTCTCTCAATAAAATATTACAGTCTCCAGTTTTGTAAAATCTCTGCTCCATGAGGTCCTGGGGCCAGCTAGATGATAAATGACTTACTTTCAGCCATTTTCCTAGAGTTCACTCTATAGTCAGGAAGGAATGGTTCAGGGATCAGATCTAGCCACTAAATGACTTTAGTATTAGAATCTTATCTCTGAATTCTTCACAGTGATTAGTAAATCTTCATGGTTAGAATATTAATTTCTAGTCTTCTTTTCCAGTTCATTCTTCATAGACCTAGGGATATACTTGTAACTGCTCACTGACTGTAATCCGAAGGTTAAGAAAAGCATTTCTCTTTCATCAAAACCACCTTAAGGGCAACTTATAGTGCCAGTCTGATATTAGAACTCTATAATGCTAGCTTTTTAACCATGAAAGATACAAAATTAGTTACTTTAAGAGTCTATATTTTTTCATTATACTTAGTCAGCAATAACAGACTTGAAAATATTCTGTAGAACTCATAAAACTTTACCAGCTTAAAATATTCTGAACTTCTATATCTCAATGTTCTAACGTGATTTTAACCAGATAAATGGGCCACATCAAAACTGTATATTGCCCAAATAGAGGCACCTTCAGTGGCGGAAAGGGCTTTGCTATTTATTTTTTTTCTTCCTTAATTGTTTGTATTCAACCATTTTCAGAAAAATTCCAAGGCTACCAATTGATCTGATTTTTTACAACTTAACTTGTGAAATTCTATAGCTCTACTGAGCTTCTTCAATATAATCATTTAGTAGTTTCCTGACTTCAGATAAAATCAGAACCAGCTCATGAGAATCAGGAAAATCTGTTGTTCACATGGGTACTACATAATTTAATTCCCTACTGCAATGAGTTTTGTCCCCCTTTGGGGCCTTATCGAACACTTGTCCATAAGCTCTGCCTGCATCTCTCTACCTCTCCTTTCTTGCCAAATAGATTTCATTTATGAGGTTTTGGAATATGACTTCCTCTGCATAGCCTTTTCTGATTTCTTAAAACTATATTAGCTTCTCCTCTGACAGACACAGCACACTGTTCCTGTCATTCACAGGATTCATTAAAATTATAATTGAATACCCAGATACTTACTCAATAAATCAGTTAAATGAATGAATTTATTCATCAACATGGAGGAATTTCCTCTTGATGGCAATTTATAGATGTGGCTTTCACTATTATTTTAACATGATTATATCCATGCTGGAAATATTTAGCTTCAAGAATTCTTATGCAGAGTCAACTTATTTTCCATCCTAATACCTCTTAATACTTTATCTTGTGAATTAAAGGTCAGTTAAACATTTTTTAAATCAAACATATATTTCCTGTTTAAATGTAAAACTGTGATTAAGACACTCATTTGTAATCTACTCTTGATGCATAGCAAAAATACGATAAGGGTTGCTACAGATGATTTACCAGGTAGCAAGCAGAGTCACCATGTTAAAAAAAAAAAAAAATCTTATATTGATCTAAATCTTGTTCCCAAATGAGTAAGATCAGTTTGGTTAATAGACATACACTATTAGCTCTTTTTGTGGGGGTGGGGGAGAAAGCATAAAGAAGCTTTGTGAAGTTTATAAATCATCAATGTATGTATTACACGTGACAAGGTAATAAGCAAAAGAATCTGTAGGTGGAAAAGCCAGAAAAGGAATGCAGAGTTTTTAGGGAATGACTCAACAACTATATCTAAATGACAGGATCAATACTCATACCACAGATAAATGGAACATCATGTAGCTGATGAGAATAAAAATCTGCTATATATTCTATATTATAAGGTACCAGATTATCTTACCAGAAACTTTCTGTATTACTTCATTAACTTCCTTCATGAACACTTTCTGTACAAATACCAAGTGGTTTAGAAGATCAGTTGTGAGATTATGTTCAAAGGAACCAACCTGTCAAACAAAATCAGAATTATTAGATTAACAATACTGACTATATTTGTTGTAACTACATCTTTTGCTCACATAGGTCATCCCAAACTCTGAAGAAAAACAATGAATTATCTACATATTCTTCGAAAAAAGGTTAAAAAATATTCAGATTGCCCAACATTTACTGGTCTGACATTATTATGGGCCGTTCCTTAATTTTTTTTTAATAACAGTGGCCCATAAAGTATCTTTCTTCTATCTTACAAAAGAATGAAATTTATACTTTATGTAACCTGCTAATTTCAAAACTGAAATTTTGTCTAGAGTGGTATTTATTTTCAATGACTACTATCATATTGTTAGAACCATGGACAAGTATTAATACACATGAAAGTAAATTTATTTGCACATTCAAATACTTATTGGCCATCTACTCTGTGTACCTCGTTAGACGCTAAGGATATAGCTGTGAATAAAAACAAAATCATGGCTCTCAAGAGGCTTACTTCGCATGAAATAGCAAATGAGATATACTCAATCAGCTTTACTATATGCCCTATAATTAGTATAAAGCATAAGATTTCTGGGAAGAATTAATAGATAGATTAAATAGAAAGCAGGTCCTAATTGAAGTTGAGTATTATAGTAAAGATGGATTGAAACACCCTTATGAGTAAGGCAAATGTTTCAAATTTACCACTTTGTTAGCATTCATATTTTGATAAAAAGTAAAGCAAAGTAGATTTAGTAGTCTTTACTTAAATGAGAAGTTACATAAAGTCTAAGTTGCACTAGCCACTTTTTTTTGTATAGCGTAATACAGAATGGGCTAAGATGATTTTCATGTGTATTTATTTAAAGCCATAGTAAAACAGGCAATTGTTTGAGGAATGCAACTTTAGATTCTTTCAAGGGTTTTTAATTAACTGCATTCTTAGCAAATCTGGGATTGTGTTCTTCCCCAATTACAAACTTTATACCTTTCTAATAGCTAATATCAGTAAGGAATTATGCAACATACTGCATCAGATCTGTTTTATTTTCCGTCAAAAGAGGCGTTAAGAATAGTATTGCTAGAGTCTGAAGCACTTCTTTTTCAGAATAGAAAGCACAAATGAAATATGCTTTATAATCTCCCTTTTAAATAAGTATTGGACTTCTAGAATCTTGTACACTATTTTATTTGTACACTCATTTTTCACATAAAGAAATACCAACTTTTAGAGAGGTGCTAGGGTAAGCAGCATCTAAAGAAGGTAAACCTGTATGGTGACTAACATAACATAATAAAAAATAAAAAATAAAAAAAAATAAAGAAGGTAAACCAGACTTAAATATCTCCCACAGCTGTAATATTTCTAGCAAAGAACTCAAAGAGCATTCTCACACATACTTCACATTCTAGAGAATAAAACTTATAAAAGAAATAGAAAACTGCTTTTTCAAGATAAGTCAATCAGAGAAAGACAAGTATCGTATGATCTCACTGATATGAAGAATTTGAGAAACAAGACAGAGGATCATAGGGGAAGGGAGGAAAAAATGAAACAAGATGAAACCAGAGCGGGAGACAAACCATAAGAGACTCTTAATCTCAGGAAACAAACAGGGTTGCTGGAGTGGTGGGGGCTGGGAGGGATGGCCAGTGCTGGGTGATGGACATTGGGGAGGATATATGCTATGGTGAGCACTGTGAATTGTGTAAGACTGTTGAATCACAGATCTGTACCTCTGAAACAAATAATACATTATATGTTAAAAAAAAAAAAAAA